GGTTTCATAATAATGCATATGTGTCTTCGTGTCATGAATTTTTCTCGTGAGATCAGGGCAGCGTCATGGTTGGGCGAGGTGGTTCTTTCACTACAACCAGATTTCTGTAATGTAGATTCAGTTTAAGGATCTACGCAAGTACCTATTTCATGTACCGAGCAGTGATCAATGTCACTACTTTTCATTGTCTATTTTTACATGACCCTAATAATTTGTGCCAAAACATTTGTTTAAATATTTGAATTCTGTTTATTTCTCTAAGCACGTCTGAGTTCTTCACAGCTTCTTATAAAAAACTGCTATACGAAATGTTTAAACATATGAAAAAGTAGTGTGGTAGTTCTTAAAAATCTTCAGCGATTAGAAAAACTGAGATGCTAAAAGACAATCAGAGGTACATTTAGTCATGTCATTTTTTTTTTCATGAACTCAAGACTTTTTTTTGTGTAGGGATTTTTATGCACTTGGACAAAAACAATAGTTTAATGTCCTCTTATGCTATAGCTAATGAATTCTATTGTTCATGCACTGAAATGTTATATTGACAAGAAATGACAAAACTTTCCATGACTTGTTCTTTCAAAGAAAGTGGGGGGAGATGGAGACAATCTATATTTTTTAAGTAGGTTTCAGTTGCTTAATTATTTCACTCATTGGCTCACTTTTTTTCACATGCAGAAATAGAATTGAAGTAAAATTTACTCACCTACCCCATGATTTTTTTTAATCTGTCATCTTTGAGCTGGTTGACAGTCTTTTAGGAAAACTGCTTTTGCTCCTAGTTTCTGAAACTTCTTTAATTCTATGCACTTAATAGTAAGGTTAATTCTTCATCAGAAGTAAATAAGTAATTTAGTTGCTTCATGAAGTGTTAAGAGTTTTATATTTGCGACCTCCTTTTTTTCCCTTAGTTGCATGGACTAAAAATAATACTATCGTACAAATCTAGGCGTTTTATTTGCAAATATGTATATAATTGAGTTTTATTTCTTTAAACAGAGTTGGAGATAAGAATATTTAAATGTAATCTATATACATTGTGACTTAACTTTTCATACTGTGTATCTTTTGTTTTTCTCAAATACTGCAAGCACTCATATACATACATATTAGATCTGTATTCATTTCAGCTTATACCTTTGTGATTTCCTTCATGGACATACTAATGTAGGGGTCTTTGGCATATATCTCAGAACCCATTGGCAACACCCACTGTCAAATGGTCATGTTGAAATGATCTTTCACATTTAAAAGTGTTCTTTGAAATATAGATAGAAAGTTGGTCTAGAAACATGCCCTGGCATACTTATGAGTACAGTCAAGTGGAAAAACATTAGTCATATTGAAATAAATATTAGATTTGGTATTGTCACCTGCTCACAGGGAAACAGAATTTAGTTTTTCCTCTTTTCTTGAAAATGACTGCACCATGTTATGACTACCAACATCTGTAATATAATGGTTAGGGTTTTTGCTTTTTGCTTGCAGAAAACGTTAGTTCTACTCCAGAATGGAAAGTTTATTTTATAGAGTATTTCGGTCTCTCTGAAAAGATGTTATAGCCCACTTGACAGCTTAGGTTAGCCCAGACAGGTAGGGTACGTAGAAGTGGCCTGCCTCTGAAATGATGTAAATTTTGGGTTGGGGCTCACAACATTCACAATTACAATAAATTATGTTATGACTCTTACCTGTTAGTGATATATGCAGCTACGTTCTTTGATTTCGGACATAAAATAATAGAACATACTCATGTATCAAAGTATCATACTTTCATTGTCTAATTTTTTAAAATTGCATTTCAGACTGAATTAGCAGCTGTTTTAATTATGTATTTATTTGCTACTCTCATATCTATTGTGATTTCATAACGTGCTGTGTTTGTTCTTCACCATTCCTATAACTTGCTTAGTGCTGAGAAATGTTTGTGATGTAGTCACCAATAAATTTGATAGGTGGAGACATTTAGGGATGTGAATAGACTGGGCATGTGAAGAAGATGATTGTGGTGATTTTTTTTCACTTTGTAGTTTCATATACATACAACAGATAGTACGCCTATAAGACAGAATGGTAGGCTATACTCTGGTTTATTGCCTACATTTTTGGGGGGGAGTTGGAATGTTGAGATGGCTATCATTTTTAGGATAACATATAACATTCTCTTAAAAGCTGTGGTGGCTATTAAGAATCTAGACTGAAGACCCATAGATATCCTTTACTGATATATGTCAATTACTATTTTATAGGGTAAACCCAAACAAGCCACTGACCTCCTTGTGAAAAGAACAGGTGAATTGGGCCTAAATGATTTAAATCAAGTCTTGTCTTTGTTACAGAAATCACCCTAAATCAGATTGTAAAACTGACATGATTTATTATATTATTAAATATGTATGTGTGTATAATTTCATTAGTACTGCATGCCTTGCCATTTATCTAAAGCAAAATTTAGGGTGTCAGCAGATGTACTTTGTTTTTGCTGGCGATGGCTGCAATTATTTTTGAAATATTGCACAATAAGAAGACATTTGTGGTTTTGGGGGGGGGGGGGACATTAAGGGCCATCTGCTAATGGTCACTTCATTTGCCTTGCTGAGGGTTTATTAACTAATGAATCATAGCTTCTCCATGGTATAGAAAAGAGGACTGCGTAAATTTTCTTTGATACACTTTTGATTGAGCTGCATGCCATATTGATGTGAGAGACGAAAATGTGTCCTAAGAAATATTTACTCATTTCTTAGGAATACCATTTTAGCTTGGTTTAGCATCAATCAGGAAATGCATTTTTGTATTTTGTTCAAATTCTTATATCTCATAAACTATGGACAGTTTACTTGATTATTCAATAATATTTTACTAAACAGGGAAGCTGTTCTCATTAAGTTTTGTTTTTTACTGCTTGATTGTGAATTGACAGAATGCTTTGTGATATCTGATGCTAGACTTGGATTGGATCATGTGGCATAATGAATAAAATAAATTACTGTGGGACTGGTCATTGATTTTATTATCTTTTTTTTTTGCTGTTGTTGTTGTACTCTTATTCATTTGATTTTTTATTTCACTGCATGAATTACAAGTCAGATTATGTGTACAAAAAATGGGGAGTCCTTTCTCCTTTTTACTCACTCTGCCTTACTTAAGTCTTAATGCTGTTTGGTACATTTGGTATTCTTTTTGCCATTTGATAGTCGCTCAGGATAAAGATGGGCTTGGGAATGATTTTACTTTTATTCCAGTTGTAGTATTTGCCTAATCAGTCATAATATCTCACCATTTTTACAATTCAATTATCAGTGTAGAAAGACAAGACTGACTACTGACAGTGACAGGAAGATTGTGGTGTCGGTGGCCTAGTGGTTAAGCTACCGGACTCGTAATCGTTAGGTTGCGGGGTCGACGGTTCGTGCCGCGGGCCCGATGTTGTGTACTTGGGAAAGGCACTTTACACAATTTTTCCTCACTTCACCCAGGAGGAAATGGGTACCCGGCCATAGATAGCGAAAGATCTTGTATGTTAGTGTTTTAGCACATATAAATGGCCGCTTGTACTGTATGCTTCCCAGAAAGTTGAGTTTGTTTCAGAATGCTCTCAGGTCTGCTGGGGTAATAGTATTGATTGTGAAGCGCACAGAGCTTGCTGTTGAGCGGGGATTTGCGCTATACAAATGCTATCTATTGTTATTATTATTGTGACCCCTGCTGCAGACACAGCTGCTGCTGCTATCACTACAACAATTTCTGCTACTTCTACTACTGCTAACTACTTCTACTACTTTTAATTTGCATCAACGAGGACAAAAATCAAAATAAACAATCTTTTTAAACATTAGAGGGGGTTGCTCTTCCTGCTGATGTTGGGGGGGGGGGGGGGGGTTATTATTTATACCACATAGCTTGTAGAGGAAAATTAAGTTCATTTAAGAAATAAATGTCTAAATTATGTTTTTAAAAATTCACAACCTCAACTTTAAAAATAAAAGCACTGAAATTGTTTTTGTGTTTGGGCATATCAATGTGACCCCATATATCCAACAGATAACATCGCTCAGAAAATGGTTATCCAAGAACTACAGAAATTACATTACATGTATTGATGACAATACCCTCAAATTGGCTTGTGAGGAAACTGCTTAAGAATTCTACTTCAAATGTCAGGTCTGGAGCAGACATTGACGATCACAGCACCTCATTCCTTCCTTTTGTCTGTCTTCATAATCAGATAGGTTTTTCTCTGGGAGACGCCATGGTGAAATCAGACGTTTGTCAGAATACTGAAACAGAAGGAACCGGCATTTTCCGCCCATTTGGAAATTTTTATCGAAATTTTGCTTTTTGACTCAACACCTTTACGGTCCTTTAAAAACACATTTCTGTGTGTTTTGTACTGAAAAAAGTTGATTTCATAGCAAAGAATATAATTTTGCAGTTTCCAAGGACTCTTACACTTTGTAAGTAACCAAAGTTTGACAACACATCTGACACTAAGCAACCCCCACCTCCTTTAACCTAAAATATTTCAACTTCTAGTCAGGACAGATGGGTATTTCTTTCATTGAAAGCAAGATCAATGACCAAGCTTTAAGTTGATGTCAAGAAATCAATATGCCCAAAAATTGATGAGCGCCTGAATCCATGGTGTCATGACACATGTGTTATTCATTGCAAAATTGTTTAAGTCCATCTATATATGTTCTTCTCTGTCTTCCTCTGCTCTTCTTTCCCTCTATTTTTCCACAGAGCAGCAACTTCTCCTGTCCATTTGATCTATTTGTGTGGCCAAAGAATCTCAATTGTCTCTTTCTGATGGTTCAAATTATGGATCTTTCACATCCTGCCATTTGGAGCACTCTCTATTTGTTTTCCTCTCTGTCCATGAGATTCTACAGAATAGGTCAGCCTAAAGGGAATTTTTTTTTTCTTCAGAGTCAGCTTCAGTAAAGGATGGTGCATGCAAGTTCACTTCAATAAGACTAATGAGGATAAAAACCTTGTTTTATGCAATCCGTCGTTTATTCATACTTCATTGTCAAAGAAGTCGTAACATAAGTGTACACAAAATACGACTTCACATAAATATAAATTAATTGAAAACAGTTAATGAGAAAACAATAATAGTCATAATAACAATAACAATAATAAAAATAGTATAATAATGATAATAATAATAATAACAATAATAATAATAATAATAATAATAATAATAATAATAATAATAATAATAATAACAACAACAACAATATTAAAGATGATAATGGTGATGGTTATCATCATGATAGTAGAAATAGTAATAGTAATAATATATGTAATAATAAGAATAACAAGAATAAGAATAAAATAACATAATAATAGCAATAATAACAACAACAACAATGAAAACAACAACAACATTAATGATATTCGTAGTAAAAGAAGAATTCATGATAATTTAAATGTCAATGAAGATGACAAGAAAGATGGTACCGTTAGGGTAATGATGATGATAGTTACTATAGCAATGACAAATAATGACGGTGACAATGATGATGATGATGATAACACTGACATATGATGATAATAACAACCAAAATGTGAGTAAAAAGAACAACTATATCAGAGGAACTTCAGGATTAAATGAATGAATCAGGACCAGAGTGGGCTATACTAGACTGCCCTGATCAGAACTAGACCTATACTGGTACCCAACTATTGTAAGGTATCGTGGTGAAATCAGGCACTCGTCAAAATACTGAAATTGAAGCAAACAGCATTTTTACTCCTGTTTGGCAATTTTTATTGAATTTTTTTTTCAGCTCAACACCTATTATGTCCATTTAAAAACATATTGCAGTTTGGATTTGCCTGAAAAACATTGATTAAAGGTACAAACAATTTTAATTTACAGTTTCCAGGAACTTTCAGGCTTTGGAAGTAACGAAACTTTGGCAGCCATATTGTCTCGCTAGTTTTACCTTTAAAACCAGGTGATCCCCACCTCCTTCAATCCGAAATATCTTGACTTCAATTGAAGATATATGGGTAATTTTTTTTTTTCGAAAGCAAGACAAATAAACGAGCTTTAAGACGATACAAATTACTTTATAAACCTAAAAATTGAGGAATGCCTGATTCCATCTCGTTGTGACACAATTTGCTTCAAAAGAAACAATCTGCGTGACTCAATAATAATCTGTAATGTCATGGTTCTCTTTGAAATACAGAATCTGACAATATTAATCATGATTGTACTGTCTATGTTATTGATAAGAGTCATGCATTTCTTGACACAATACAATTTATTGGTCAAAGTTGGATCAAGGACTTACAATTGGTCCCCGTTCAGGATCCGATACTGGGAGGATGTTAAAATAGCACAAGAACAGAAATAATAATCTGATCCCAACTGGAATCAATTCTCCAATATCTACAAAATAAAACAAGTTCAAGTTCATAATCAACCGAGCATCAACCATTTAGAAGAATTTAGATACACAATTTTCAGAGGATGAAGTATACCCTTAGTAAGTTTGAAATACCCAGTAAAGTCATCATCATCAACAATGCCCTTCACCTCTGGCAGGGTATAGGCCACATACAAGCCCCTTCCATTTATCTCTGGCCTGAGCCATCTGTCCAAGCTCATTCCAGGTGAGCTTCATCTCTCTCATGTCCCTTTCCTCGCATCTCCTCCATGTTTCCCGTGGCCTACCCCTGCCTCATGCTCCTTGTGGATTCCACTGCAGTGACTGTCTGGTGATGTTTCCGCTGGGCTTTCTTAAGGTGTGTCCCATCCATCGCCACATTCTTAGTCCTATTTCTACTTCTATATCCTTTTGTCCTGTCCTTTCCCACAGCTCTTCATTTCTTATTCTATCTTGCCACTAAATTCTTAGAATACTCCTCATACATCAGTTGATGAAAGTCTGGACTTTATTCAGTACTGTCTTTGTTGCCTTCCAAGTTTCGCAGCTGTAGAGGAGCACAGACTTGACTTTGGAGTGCTTGATCCTAAATTTAACTTTACTTTAACTTTATGCAGTAAAGTGGTAAAGGTAGAAAATGCAATAAAGCAAGCTTTCTTTGAGGATGACAGTGCCTCAGATTATAGTGTGGTCAAAATTAGTAGCGCAACTTATCCTCAAATATCTCTAACGGGTGAATCAATGTCCCCCATACAGCAGTTTGTATCCATTTGTCTTAACGTAATCATATTTTTCCTCAACAGTTGAAACACAGCTCCTGGTAGTGAAAGAGGTAAGTGGCTTGGGCACATCTCAGACTAAGTGACAAGTGTCTAACAGTGTACAGCACACGGGGGATCGGGAAGGAGCCAGAGAAAGAGAGACAGGGACAACATCCCTCAATGGTCTAGTGTGAAGTTGAGAAATGCATTGAGAGAAACAGTAAACAGAGAGCTTCAATGATTGAAACTGATTGGTAAAGTAAAGAAAACTGATGTGAAAATCAAGGAAATAAGTGACATATCTATGGAAATATCATAACATTATGTAACTCAAAAATCACTATAGACGTTGCCATCTCTATTGATAAAATTTAACTATGAAGCTCGCAAATTGGTTAAAAAGCTTTTACAAAACAGATGACCTATTTACTGTTTTAAAGATATTTAAGGTTTCATTTCTCAGTCTTATCAGCAATGGACGTAATTTCAGGAGTCTTATCCTTTCATTGAATTGAAAGTAGCACAAACTCAGGGTATAAGCATGGATCAAAGAACCTTCTATAATTATGATTGTAAGTCTTTATAATGATCCTCATATATGAATTCAGAAATGTGGAGGTTTTGTTTCAGCATGTAGCCTCTCAGACGATGGAAAGGGCTAAAAATGTAGATTATTTCCAGTATAGAGAATGAGTTTAATGTTATCGTAGAAACCCTATGTAGACTAGTTCTTAATGTATTTTTGTACAGGGCTGTTTACAATGGAGGATACAATGTCAAATGAACTAGTCATTTCTAAACAGCTGTGATAGTCAAAGTTCAGTTGTGACACATGTACAACAAATGAAATGGCTAACTGTCATTCCATGTCCGGTGGGCGCAAGAAATCCTATTGCACTTATACTGCACAGGTACTTATAAAACTAACTTCACTCTGGGATTCTAAAATACCACACACATTAACATCTAAGAAATATACATACCTATATATATATGTGTGTCTGTGTGTATGTGTGTGTGAGAGTGTGTGGTGTGTATGTGTGTATGATTGTCTGTGTGTGTCTGTCTGTGTGTATTTGTGTCTGTATGTGTGTGTTTGAGTGTATGAGTGTCTATGTGTGGCCATGTGTGTGCCTGTGTGTGAGTGTGTATTGTGTCACGTGAGTATGCATGTAGGCCTAAGTGTGTACTTGTGTGTGTGTATGTGTGTGCATGTATGTGTGCCTGTATGTGTGTGTAAAGGTGCTTGTATCATAATATCAGATGCACCTAAAGTGGTGGTTGCTAAGACAACCTGTTTCATGAAAAGACATGCAAAAATCACATCATGAAAATCTCTTTGAACAAAATAAATTGTCATATCATTACACTAAAAAAACTAACTCCATCTTATACTGCTAAAAAAAAAAATCAACAAAAAAAAACAGAATAAGAAGAAGTCAGTTTTCAACATGAGCACTCGGTCTCATTTAAAAGCAAGACGAAAGAGCTACCTTAGTCAGAATAAAAGCTGCTCCAATGACTAGAATTGGTAAACTGGTAAAACATAGTTAAGACAAACGTCATTTTATTTTCATTATTCTGAAGTGAAACTGAAACGAATCCAGAAAAATGCTATATATAATTTAGATTTTCTGATTACCTTTACCTCCACAAGAAACATATTTTCTTAAACAGCCTTTGACCTAACATTCTTATATTCATATCTCCTCAATCTCCAACTGACTATTGATATTCCAAGAAATCGAAATGTCAAAGCTTCCATAATATAAAAATAGTCAGAGCAAAGGAGGACAAAGTTCTGACAACCTGAAACTGTACATTTCAATCCCACCAATGAAAAGTCAGGCATATTTTTTAAGTAATCAAATTGCTAAAAATAAAAATGAACCCTGATACAAAGTCACTGGGAAGAGAACAATAACTGTTCATAGATGTTAAATTGCAGAATACCTTATAACAGTTCATGAATTTACCATAAAACGTGCATAAATAAGTTTGGAGTATGATGAAAAAATCAATCATACTGTTTCACCTAAATACTGTTTCATACTTTTAAGATAATTTATAAAAGTTTGAGGCTTTTTGTTGTTGTTTACAATAAACTTAAAAAACAGAAACTTTCAAATGAACCATATGAGCCCCCCCCTCCCATTTAAACTGACAGAAGCTGGGCACCTGGGCTCCTTGGAATTAACTGACATAGGCCAGTACCACGGGAAGGTCAAGTGTGCTTTCAGTGCACAGGATGGGATTTGTCGTCTTGCTCAAGCTTGTTCATGGATCTATTGCACTAAAGTGATATTTTTTTTTTTTTTACTTTAAAAACTTTTTCAGGCTTGGTCTCTTTAACCTATAGGAACAGTGCACCTTACTTCCCTTGGGTTGACCACTAGATTTTTACCATCATTAGAATTAGAAGAGAAAAGGTAGCACAAGCTCTGGCCCATAGGTTTAACGTAAAGCCTCACTGGTCATTTTGACACGAGTACATACACGATAAAGACCTTTTTATGTTCTTGCTTATGAAGAAGGTTATTCAGTATCTGAACATTACCAGTAGATAATCTGTACAGTTAAGTCTGTTGATGGATGATGAAACTGACTGTTATTGACCAAACAAGTACCAGCATCTACTGTGTCATAACTGGGGTCTTAACTTTTCTTTGTGCAAGAGGCGCTGAGGTATGAATAATTATATTATTAATACCCCTACTGCACAGCCTTAGCCTGTTTCATTGCATTGGTAAGAATAATATAACAAGCCTGGCAGCAAGAGGGTTAAGACAAATACAGTCTAATCTACTTTAACCGCCTCCTGTCCAAAACAACTACTTCTTACTCTTCCCCAATCATTTTTTATGTCAAAAAGACACTGTCTAAGACAACCACTTTTCTCCTCGACAATGGGAGGCCACCTCGGACAATTCTGATTGTATTTGAAGAAGATTCTGATTCATTACATTCTCAGCTCACTAGGAATAACAGACTGTCTGAGACTGACAAAAAAAAAGAAAACCCACAAAAAGGACTTCATTTTTCTACAGGTAAGCCAAGTCCGTAAGCAACCATGCTATGTTAACTGGCTCAACAAACAATGATTTTCAATACAAGTACATCTTCAGTGTTGCATGCAATCATCATCACAACTGTAAAAATATTCAGATAATATTTTTGCTTGTTTAAAAAAAGAGTACATTTTGGATTAGCTCTTATAAGAAGGAATTTAACTTGACTAACGGAAAGCCATGTTTGATTTTTACAGATAACAAACAATAATTGTTTGTGCCACAAAATAAACTGAGTACAGTTTACTCAATGATTTTCAATCACCCTGTAAAGCAAAGACAAATGTGAGGCATCGTAGCGAAATCAGCCGCTCGTCAAAATAATGAAATCAAAGAAAACTGCATATTTCCGACCGTTTGACAATTTTTTTTGAATTTTCTTTTTTGGCTCAACAACTTTCATTTAAAAACCACATCTTGTGTTGCTTTTTCTGAAAACCGTTGATTAAAAATGAAAAAAATGAAAATTTTCAGTTTCCAAAGTCTCTCAATCTATGGAAGTCGCCAACCTTTGGCGGCCATTTTCTCTCTAATTTTACTTCTGCAAGCAGGTGACCCCCAGCTCCTTCAATCATAAATATCTCGACTTCTATTCAAGAGAGGTGGGTAATTTTTTCATTGAAAGTTACGCAAATGAACAAGCTTCAAGATGATCCCAAAAACTCCACATGCCCGAAAAGTGAAGAGTGCCTGATTCCACCTCGTCGTGACACTAATACAGTAACTCATTTTTCTTGCCTCAGCATTGGTATTCAACTGTACAGTAGTTTTGCAACTACACACACTCCAGCTCTTATATTACCCTGACGGTTTTACAAGTTGCTGTTAACACAAACTAGCTTCTGTGATGTAATGACTTGCTTACTATCATTGCATACAAAAGATTTAAGCTTTATTCCTGGGAGAAGGAATCTATTTTATCGATAATCTCCATCTTTCTGCTGAGATGCTACGTACCACTTAGCCTGAGTTGGTCTTGACAATCAGGATCTAAGCAGCTGGTCCTCACAATGATCTAAATTGTATTGAAGGGAGCCTAAACTATTTATTACAAAATACAGTCACGTCAATGTGAGGTTGTGCTAGTAATATTAGTAAGGAAAAATGTTTTCCTGTCCCCTGGAAAACAATGGCTTTTGTTTGTTTTAGTAGAGATTTTACGACGCTCGCAACAGCGTGCGTAAGGTATTTGAGAAAAATGGCTTTAATGAGTGATGGTGATTACTTGCTACACTAATGACACAGTTATCACAGATGACTTTCTACCTGTGCTTGTTAGAAAAACTATGGAATTCAAAGCTTGACTATTAAAAAATGATATCTTTGCATTTCAAGCATGATGCAATTTTTATTTTCTTTACAATTAACAGACATTTAAAGTAAATGAAGACTACAAGGGAAAAAAAGGAAGCAGTCACAGAAAGAAAAATTGTTGAAAACCACTGGAATATATATGGAATACTATCATTAATTCTTTCCTATATGGCTGTTTAAAAAGTGTTGTCAACATGTCGTGACAACACTACAACCCTTTCTAATAAATGAAAATAATACTCATGACAAAACGAATCAAGTCAAACAATAGATCAAGATGGCAAGTGACAAAAATAAAAAAATCATGACTACTATCCTCTGCCCCCCCCCCCCCCCCCCCCTATAGTCTTCAAATACTTTCTAGAAAAAGAAGACACAACACCATAAGGAGCATACATAAATAATTCAGTCATTGCTATAAACAGTTTCATATTTGAATTCACAGCCATGGAAGAGCATATAAAATATGTCAAGCTTGATATGCACAGTGCACAGTTACATCTTGCTTTTCTTCATGCATTCAAAAGTGAGATTCCAAAATTTACTAAAATGAACAACTTTCAAAACTTTCACCATGCTTTCATTCATTCATTTATAAAGAAAACTCTGCTAAAAAATATAATATATGACAAATACTGCCATAAGAAGTCACATTAAGATCTCTTCTTGAGCAGCTCCATATGAATCTGTTAAAGACATAATTTACCTGCCCTTCTTCACATTACGAAAAATATTTAATACATAAGTAGTAAGAAAAGAAGAAGCATCATTGGCTAGAAATAAGTAAACACATTTTTGTTAATAAGGCTGTAATAAATTGCAATCAATTCCAGTGGCCCTAAAATTAACAGATACCAACAACTTTTAATTTTTAAAATATTTACTAGGTTTACTTGCACAGAAAAAAAATTAGATCTATGTGCAATTTAATTATTTTTTGCTAGCTTTCGAAATGTGCAATCAAAGGCCATGAGATTGACAGGTAAAATATCTTCTAAGACAATTTGATCTCCATGCAAAAATAAAACTTAAACATACTTTGTAATTCTTATTCCTGTCATTCTTTTCACATCCAGAAAAATCAGCAGGGTCAGCGTTTTAATTATGGGATCAAGAATCAGTCAAGAAGTTCATTTTAAGAATTGAAAAAGTCAAAGCACACTGAAAAATTAGCAAACAATGAACCTGGGATCAACAGTTACCTTCGAATTTGAGCAGAAAAGGTATCAGTCACACCTTGACAGAATTTGAATAATCTACTTTACACCAAATATTCACTACAATTTTCTCATTCATAATACACCTTATGTGACTTACATTTTACTCAGCTGTGTCTCACCTTAAATGACCAACATTTTACTTCTCTGTGTGTATTACACCACCAATGAGAAATCTACGTTATACCTTACTTACATGGCCCACATTTGACTAGTTTTGACAGATAAAACTTCACACCAGGTTCAAAACAATGCTGACGCACAAAGTTTGTGGATACCAATCTAGAAATAATTTACAATGTCTGAAAGTCAAGATATTTTCTATTTAGTATCATAAGTGTGTTTCTTGCAACATAAGGTTTGACGTATCCTGATCCAAAAGAACAGCTGGAAGATCCTGGTTGGCCCTGTGGTCACCTGGAGCTGAGGGTTCACAATTTACACTTCCTCTACTCTGATCTACATCCGTCGGAGAAGCGCTGTGGTGTAGGCGATCTCCTTCAACAGAAGGAATAATTGTACTGTCACCGAACGAGACGCTGGGCTTGGGTGATTTCCCTTTGGTGGTTGACAGAAGGGCTGTCTTACTGTCATTTACAATGTCTTCATCTTCTTCCTCTTGAAGAGTGAAAGTAGATTTACACAATCGAAGTTTGTCTTCTTCTTGTTCAAAGATCTCAATATTGTCACACAAATGCACAATATCACCTTGTTCTGCAGAGCGCCTCATTCCAGGAATTTTTCGGTTTTTTGACAATAGATTGGATTCTGACTCAGCGTGTTTAAAAGGCTTTCTTTGCATTGATTTCACAGGATTGAGGTTATTGTTCTCCGATTCCGAGTCTTCTATGAGAGGTTTCTCACAGGAGTCAACACCATTATCAGGCTCATCCCCATCATTTGGGGTGTCCCCAGGATAGGAGTTGTACCGAAGAGGGGGGTGGAAAGCATTGTGGGGGTATCCAATACCAGCCTGGGAGTAGTAGACATTAGGATGAGCGTACTCATGTTGATTTGACTCCAGTGGTGAATGGCGGGAGTACGGGTGCATGTTGGTAGAGGCGGGATCGCTGTCAGGTGGGAATCCTTCACCGGGTTGAAGAGAAGGATCTATAACTGTGGGCCGCCCCTCGCGGCCTTCAATGTTGAGCTGTACTGAACCATCCTCAAACTGCCCACTGGAATTATCTGAAGGATTGCCTGTCAACTTATGATGAATAGGGTTGACAAAGTGTGTATGGGAAGAGGGTTCTATGATGGCAGTGCAGCCAGGGTTTAGGGCAGGATCACCTTCACCTTGGGCAGGAGCACGCTGCTCACCTTCATGCAAAGATGAGGCAGGATTGCTGTTTTGCTTTACCAGTTCATTTACAATATCTGCTTTCACAGAAAATGTGTTACCAGACCGAAGTCTCACTGTATAGTCTTCCTGACCAGAAGTAGTAGCAGACTCCACATCATTATTTGGCAAACAATTGCTATCCATTTTACCTGATTTTCCTACATGAGGAGAGTTTGCTTTCCCCTTACTGCTATCATTGCGGTGCTTTGCTGGAGCATTACTAGTTTCACATTCGTGAACCAGCTCACTAGGGCTGTCCATCCTCTTCTCCGCACATCTATGTAGCGATTGCCGTAAACTGTCACGGCCATTGATGCTAGTGCTTGGACTGAACGCTGTTACACCAGAAGCCATGGACAATGTTTCCGGACTTGCGAGTGGTGCTTTCACCATTTCTTCAGTTTCACTGTTAGGTATACCAAACACAGCTGACTTCTCATCTTTGTAAATCAACCCTTCTCCATCATTACTGATACCACCATTGAAGCGAACGTCGCTCTCATCTGAGCCAACAGCATTCCTGTTGGACATGTCGGAAAATCCATTAGGCTCCGAGTTTGTGGGTGTAGCCAGGGAGGACATGGATGGATGAGCCAACATCTCACGACGTTCCTCTTCTGTCAAAGTGTGAGCTGGTTTTTCAGGTGCAACTTTTAGCACCACCTGCAAATATACCGATAAGACAACTCAGCATTTCAGCAATATCAAACATCATATTATACAGCAAGATAATTCTCTCCTCTATTAAAGATACTAAAAATTGTCCTTAAAAATGCTGGCGCTGATACCAATATTACGTGATTGATATTATTCTTTGGAAAAGATACATCTTGTATACATAAGAGTAGGAGCGAAGCTTGTTCTAGAAGACTTTCTATTTGAGAAACAAAATAAAATCCTTCTATTAGTTCCAGAGCAACATCTATAAGAATGCACAAATATATTTTGTAATGTTTGTTTTGTATTCGAAGAGGATATAAACGTATAGTGTTCTGCCATCAGGTAAGTGTAAACAAGACAAAATAAATCCAAATGAGGCACCATGTTTATCAATAGCAAAAAATGTATCAGCATTCAGCCTTATTCTGGGTCTGATCTCTCTCTCTCTCTCTCTCTCTCTCTCTCTCTCTCTCTCTCTCTCTCTCTCTCTCTCTCTCTCTCTCTCTCTCTCTCTCTCTCTCTCTCTCTCTCTCTCTCTCTCTCTCTCTCTATCTCTCTTTCTCTATCCCTCTCTCTCTCTATCCCTCTCTCTCTCTCTTTCTCTCTCTCTCTCTCTCTCTCTCTCTCTCTCTCTCTCTCTCTCTCTCTCTCTCTCTCTCTCTCTGCGTGATGTTAGCTCAGTTGGTATCATGCTAAGCAATAGCATGGATGACCTTGATTTGAACCCTATGATTCTTTCTTGAACTTGGAATATTTGGGGAGTTTTCAAGGTCCTCCTTCTATTCGGTTCTGTCTTATTGGAATGTGTGTGTGAGTGTGTGTGTGTGTGTGTGTGTGTGTGTGAGAGTGTGTGTGTGTGTGTGTGTGTGTGTGTGTGTGTGCGTGTGTGTGTGTGTGTGTGTGAGTGTGAGTGTGTGTGTCAGAGGTCCTGTCATATAATGTCTTATAAATAATCTTACTGCTTCAAAAGGGGCATCAAACCTATACATTTACTCTCTTTTTTTCTGTGTACGTTCGGTTTTATCTTGTCAGGTTTCTGAGATAAATAACTTTAACTCCTCAAGTGTGTGAGGATGATAGATGCCAATGTAAAATGTCATTGCCCTTTTTGCTTGGCAAACAGTGCGACGGCTGGCTCCTTAAACAACTCAGAGAGAACAAATCCTGAGAAAACACTAACAAACTCAGTGATGAAACAATCTTATTTACAAATGAAGTCTTAACCATCCGTACGTCGTGTCTTACTATAGTATCCATACGATGTTGGGAACTCTGTGCCCCCACTTTCCAAAGAGAAAGTTTAGTCATTAATCCGATCCGTACGCTTTGCATAGCAGTCTGTCAAAACGATTTTTTGAGAAATACTGAAAGTTTCAAAGATTTCTTATTACTAGAAATATTCTAAAATGTGAAAAATACAACCCCTGGGGTACAAAATGACCCCAGGCGTACAGATAGGGATAAACAGTTAACACCTAGTGTACGATATGCCAGTTTAGCATGCACACAGCATAGCTCAATTGATTACTGTCATAACAAAGAGCAAAGAAACCAACACATCTCCATCTTATTTGTAATCAAACTGTAAGCTTAGTGCATCCAGTGTCCACCTACTTGGTTAGTTTTTGTTTTTTTTTAATTTGTTCCGCAAAAGCAACTGAATAGTAGTGGAGATATGGGGGAACTTTGAGATGCTGAAAATTAGATGACACAGTTGGCTGCGTAAAAGGTAGATAGCCTTCTGTAAATTAAGAGTGTAACTCTCTTTGCATATGTGTGTGTGTGTGTGTGAGTGTGTGTGTGTGAGCACATGCGTGCGTGTTTGTGAAAGAGAGAGAGAGAGAGAGAGAGAGAGAGAGAGAGAGAGAGAGAGAGAGAAAACTGATACAATCCCCCAAAAATGATGCAAAACTAAAGTATGCTACTCTGAGAAAGAATCACATTTTGCCCCTTAAGCAACTAGATGAAAGGAAAGCATACGTAAAAACAAAACATTCACAATCTAGAGTAATGCTTTAAATGCCCCCCCCCCCCTCCCAAAAAAATGAAATAAAATAAAATTTTAAAAAATAAATAAATAAATAAATAAATAAATAAATAAATTTATAAATTTTTTAATTAAAAAAAAACTTTAAAAAAAAACGATTATATTGTCCAGTGTGGGAATTCATTTGGCCAACAATTTGTTCTGAAGATTACAAACCTTTTCAAGTGCCTCCAGAACATTGTCGGGCATGTGATCATTGATCATGGTGGGTGAGACAAGCACTTCGTCAAAATCTCCATTATTTGCCCACACTGCTTGGAAAATTGGCTCAGAGTTCTTGAATATGCCCCTGATTGGAGAGAGGAAGCAGAAACTTCTTTTAGTATAATTCAATAGAAATAAAAAATCTAAGAGATAAAATTATTCAACAATAATTGAATACCTCTCCATTCACTAAGACAAAATACGCCAACCCAAAGTGCAGAAAAATGTCAAATTATACTAACTCCTTATATCTCCAGCAGACCATTCCCCGGCTCGTGTCGGGACTACCGTGCCTGTGAGCCGCTAATAGCAGCTCGAGCACATTCCTTTTTTACTGCAGCATCAAATTACTTTTCAGCAATTGCTGAAAACAGGTCTATTTTACCGGGAGTTCATTCATTAGATGAAGGACTATCAAAATAGGTTCACATGTTTTGATTTAATGACCAATTTAGTAATGTGTATGTCACTTTAAGATTTTTTATTTAAAAAAGGCTCCGGCATAGTTGGTTTATCCCCCTCCGAGATAAAGAGTTAAAATGATTTTATGGAAGATATTCAGAGGATTGGGCTATAATGGCCATGCTGACTCTGATAATGAGACCCAGAGGCGTAAATAAATGCTGCTGGTAAATATGATACAGGCTAGAAGGGGGAGGGGGTAGGATGATTTTAAAGCAAAACCAGATGTTGCTGACTAAGGCGAAGGAAAGGAAATTATAGCTGCTACTTCTGGAGATATGCATGAGAGTGGTATTGTTTTGTTTTTGTTACTTTCTATTGGCCTATGATTTTAAAGCCAAACCAGATACAAAGGAGTCATTTTGAAGGTGGAGAACTTGGCCCTGTGGCTTGGGTAAAGAAGCAAGGAGAGAATTTTGAAGGCAGGTGATACTCCAAAGAAAATACAAAACACTGGACCTGAACATGTGTTTAGTTGTGCAATTCTGCCTCTCGACATTTTTGTCTTCAGCAGGTGAGCAGTTTCACCATGAATCATGTCATATATAAATAAACAACATAACACAAAAAAAAGTACAAAGAGCATACCACATCAGAGAACTCACAACCAGTGAGGAAAGAAATCAGCCATTGGTGTCCTGCCCCGCCCCTCCCCCCTCCTCCACCCCCCCCCCCAAAAAAAAACAGGTACAAAACCTGTACACATGACCTATCTTGTCACAAATAGGAAAATTACAATAACTAAAGCAGACGCATGTGTTAATTGGGCAGAAAGATAAAGTATTACAAGCTGAGGCATTCAATCAGGTCTGCAAGGATAAATGTTTTAAAATCATTAGACCTCACCCTTTGTCTTTGAGGTGACTCCTGACCACGTGAATCATGTTCCCTGGCGGGTACAGTGGCATGTGAGCTGAGAGACCGATGGCTGAATTACTTGGGTGGGCAGTCACATCACGCTCCAACTGCTCTTCAGTGAGCATTGCGTTGTCGTAGCGACTGCAGCACATCAAGCCTTTGGAGATTATTTTCCACTGGAACAAGTACAGAATAGATAAACTTTTAGAGGATTTTTTCATCAAACGAGAGGTGATACAGTGTACCTGTTGGGAATTATTGCAATTCCACTAATAAAAACGACAGCACAAATATAGTATTCATACAACCTGAAAAGAATACATAATATGTGTCCTGATGCGGTGGAATCTGGCACTCGTCAATTTTAGGGCATGTTCAGTCATTAGTATTATCAAAGCGTGTTCATTTGTCTACATTTCTATGGAAAAAAACGCCATATACCTTGAACAAAAGTTGAGATATTTGCACCTGAAGGAGGTGGGGGTCACCTAGTTTTAGAGGTAAAATTAATGAGAAAATGTACGCAAAGATTGGTAACTTCCATACCTTGAGAGTCCTGAAAATTTACATTTTTTAAGCCTTTCATCAACGTTTTTCAATAAAGTCCATTCAGAAATGTGTTTTTAAATGTTGAGCCAAAAAACAAAAATTCAATAAAAATTGCCAAATGGGCTGAAAAATGCTGATATCTTTGATTTCATTATTTTGACGAGCGCCACGATGCATCATCACATATGGCATACAGAAATCTCTCAAATGGTGTAAAGGAGGGACAAGAGAGCATTGTGAATTTGTTTCCTAATTGTGTTGTGTGAAGTAACATTGTTGTCTCCCTTTGCATTGCATTATTGAATAAGGGCTGTCCAGAAACTAAAACTGCGCACCAGTAGGAACAAACTAACCACATTCGCTTCTATACCTCCCAACATAATCAAGCGAAAAAATTTTACTCATAAGTGGTTTCTATTTGAAAAGACAAAAAAGATAGTATGCTATGGCATGGTATGAATTTAACACCTCTCACAAATCTTTCAGATTATTCTTAAAAGTTGAAGATGAATTTCCCTTTTTTTTTTATTGTCCAAATTTTGCCCATCAAAGGAAATTGTTAATTCCCTCCACCCAGACTCTGCCCAGAGACAGAAATATGTAACGTTTGAAGCATGAGAAGAGATTTGTGCACAAAGTGCACTTTTTCATTATGGAAACATTATTTAACGGGTGTTTTATGTGATGCGATGTGGGCCAATGACTTTTGAATAAACTTAATTACTTACAGGTTATTAAAAGGTAGGGCCTCCAAATTTCATGGCTCTATGACAGTACTTAAGGACTTAAAAACTTTCAAAACAAGCCATGTTTAAAGATTCGTAAGTGGGCATTGGAACCAGGAACAACTGAAGTTCATCATGATCTCATCTTGGCTAACAATTTGCCCCATAATAACAAAAAGGAAACAAAAGCTACCTTTGCACCTACACCTGGAGTGTAATGGTTAGGCATGGGGCCATATAATAAAAATAGATTGCATTTGTAGCCTATTGTATGGCACAAAGTCCCGCTCAACAGAAAGCTCTATGTGCTTCACATAGACCAGGAGACTTAATAGCATTCTGAAACAATCTCAACTTCCTGGGAAGCATACAGTACAAGCTGCCTTTTTGTAGGTGCTAAAACACTAACATGCTGACAAGATCTTTTTCTGTCTGCGGTCTATCAGTGTATAGTGCCTTAAAATTTCCCAAGGACAAAGCGTCAGGACTGAGGCTCCAACTCTCGAACTTCCAAACTTGCAACCTCACGAATTGCGAGTCTGGTAGCCTAACCACAAGACTACTGACGCCACATATTCTATATATTCCACATAAAAGATGTGAGTCCCATTCCTGTGAGTATAAGCTTATTATTACACAATCGAGTATGTAAGTCTTTTGCTGAGGCTTTCACTGAGATATATAGGAGTGGACGCAGCCCGCCCCCCCCCCCAATGATCTAAACAGTATCAATGAAGACATAAACCATTTGCAATTATTTTTCAATCATTTTCAATCAATCAAACTACCTTTGCTTCTGATGTGTTCTTGATCTGGTTCAGTATGTCGGTCCTCAACACTTCCAGCTGCGGCAACCCAACTCTGACGGGGTCAAAGAGAAAGAGAAATTTAAACGTCTGAGCTCATCAAAGAGAAACAAAGAAGAGAGAACACATAATATGTACATTTCAAAGTAGCAGAAAAACAAAAGGAAATAATTAATATAATCATCATCATCATCATCATCATCATCACCACCATCATCAACATCATCATCATAACAATAATTGTTTAAAAAGCAGAGTTAGAGTGAGAGCCTTGCTTGATTTACAGGGGGAAAAAAAAAATGTTTACAATTTGTTTTATTGAATCAGCTCGATGTTTCACCATGTAGGCTTCCTCAGGAGCAGCTGAGAGTGAAACTAATGTAGCGCTGTATAGTATCAGGGTAATGAGCCTAACAAAAAAGGTCTTATCATAATAATAATAATAACAATAATAATAATACATGTAATAATAATAGTAATAGATGGCATCTATGTACAAGAGGCTTTGTACCAACTACAACGTGCTTAACAAATTATCATTATCCCAACAGACACTATTATTCCAAAACATTTTCAGCTTCCTGGGAAAAATCCAGTACAAGATACCATTTTACAGGCATTAAGACACTAACCTACTCGTAGCATAATGTTGGTATATATATTGAAGTGATAAGCTGTCTGTTTGTGTCCATGGAGATTTTTGTATGAGATAGAAGGGATGCGATATGGTAGGTGACAGCATTGGCTTTTTGAATTTGTATTTCTGTTTCCTTGTCTATATGGACTCCTTTTCAGAAAAAGTGCACCCAAGGTATTTAAACTCTTTCACCTGTTTCAGTTGTTTATTATTCACATGGATGTTCAGGGGACTATGATTTCGGCTCAGTTTCATAACTTCTGTTTTTGATGTGCTTACTTTCATGTCAAATTTCTCGCAGCTGTTGTTCAGTATAATAGTATGATTTTCTTGGTTTTGTCGGTTTGGATGAATAAAACATTGGTCGTCTGCAAATAGAAGATCATTTAGGCTTTCGGGGCTTTTGTTTGCTTCTTGCGTTATTGTCTCCATTTAGATAATAAAAAGGAGAGGTGATAAAATGCATCCCTGTTGTACTCCAGATATTACTTTTACCGAATGCACAACATACATCAAAATGTGACCTACGCCCTTTCTTTCCCTAGAGTCCTCAGCCAGTGATCATTTCTGGAGCATGGGAATTACAAGGTGCAAAATACATGAATTGGAAACATTCAACCGGACATTCACAGTGTGCTCGTGCAACTAAAGAAAGTATCAAATTATCCCAGATAAACATCAACACAAAGACGATTCTTTATTGTAAAAATCTCACCTCGGAACACAATCTTTACCAACCACTACTGATGTGATGAATGACTTCGTCTCTTCAACACATGGTAGCCTGGGGGTAAAAGCATAATAATATGTTTGACACATATGTCCAGATCGACACCCAAGGTTCTTACGTCTATCTAGCATAGTGTCACATCATAGCAACCCCATAGAAAGCTGTTCACCCATTGATACATGTACTTTGACAATCATTTAACCTTCTACTTTTTTCAAAGTACCCAAACTATGTGTAGCTCTATCTGCCACCTCTTATCTTGTAACTGAAAGAAATTTTCGCTGGCATCTTATCTATACATGTTTATTATGTTTATTTTTATAAAATGTTTGTGAAGTCTTACAATGAGAATACTTCATAATGTGATTCTTCTAACAGCAAAGAAAGCCAATGTTTCAGCAGTTTCAATAATGCATGCAGTGGAGATAACAGGTGAAGACTCGAAACAAGATACAAAAAAGCAAACAAGCTAAGAATTTATCTATATGTATTCACCAACTTTGAGGCTCAGACGTTTACTTGCTCTTTCCCAGCACTAAATAACCATTTTTGTGTCAATTTACTTCTTCTTACACACAAACCTTGACCATGAATAATTTATTTAGAGAGGCACCAGCCATCCACGTCCAGGTGCTGTTTTAGCCCTTACACAAAAAAAATCCAACCTTAAACACATTTAATTAGAGCATAGCAGCATCGAGCAAGCCAACTACTCCGTACTACTCACGTGAGGAGACCGCCTGGGGGACTGTAGGAGTAGCAGTGCAGGTTGGGGTAGTCTGCCTTCAGCAAGATGGCCAGGATAGCCGCTGTCCCTGCTCCCAGGGAGTGGCCCACCAGGACCAGCTCGTACTTGGCAGTCTCACACTCCTGGCAAACAAGACAAAGATAATTAATGCTAACAAAAAAGGCAATGGATATGATTACAATAGCAAGAATTGAAGAGACGTTGAGAATATCGTTTTCGTTTTGCAAGTTTTACGGAACTTGCAACACAATACGGTCAAATATGTGCCGAAGATCAGAGGTGTTACAAGGGAGTAACAAATACAAAAAAGAAGGAGAGATAAGGAGGATAGATGTTTGATAGGAAAGAAGGAGCAAACCACACCAGAGAACCCTCCAACCACCCACTCATTGAGCACATTGTACAGAAAAGTGGGAAGACATGGAATAATATCAGAAGGCTTGCCCAGGATAGTGAAAGGTGGAAAGTGTTTGTTCATAGCCTATACCCTGATGTAGGATGAGAAAGGCAGTGATTACCAAGAATTAGGTTGGAGGGGTGTAGGCCTATTAGTTGAGGGGTAAGGTGTCGAACTTGTAATAAAATGGTTTCGAGTTCGTTTTCAGGCTCTGATCTACATCCTTTTCTTCTCAGTACATCCAGCTGCAAATGGGTACTTAACAAAGGAAAACGGAATGTGAGGATAATACTAGAAAGAACCTAACAGACAGCAATAATGTATCCCCCATGAGACCAAAATAGCAACTGGGATTAAACAGCCTGAACAAGGAAGTTATAGTATAGTGAAGTCGTGTGAGCCTTCAGGGGGCATAAGACTGTAAATAAGCTCTATAAAAAAAATAGTGAGTTTCAAAGAAACTAATATGTTTGTGAGTCCTGTGATACAGTAGGATACTGTCTCCTATCTTCCATGTGGGTGTCCATAAACGTTTAAATCTCTTGTCACTCCGGCATATCTCCTTTCAACTGTGTGCCTTGATTGCCCAAAAAAAAGTGTTCTGCCTTCGAAAGTCTTTTTACCATGTATCTAGTAGGTCGTTAAAATTCAAAGCCGGTAATCATTAAGAAGAAGAATGTGTACTTAGCTTGTGGTTCACACACCCTTGAAAGGTAACACATTAAAAAAAACTATAACAAAAGGGAAACTGATGAGTCTCATGGAGGTGAGAGCACGACATTAAACTGAAAAAACAAAAACACAAACAGAGCGCCTCATTCACATAGTTGATATCATGATGGACTGCAGTGACGGTGACTCTGATTTGAATTTCAACATGGTGTTTTAATAAGTATTTGGGTTGTTTGGGGAGTTTCCAAACTTGTCCATCCACTAAGAGAGGGATCCGATCACGGATGGATTTTAAATACGGAGGCCTCGGGTTCACAGTGGTGTTGACACATATAAACCTAAAATACCACACCATACCACTGCATGCAAACTTAATTGTATATGTATCAATAAGTATAATGTGCATTACATGGCCACCCCTGCAAAATTATGAACAATATGCTTTTTTTTCGGGGGGGGGGGGGTGGAAGAAAGAGGGGGCGGGTTGGAGGAAGGAGAGGACTTACAGATATTCATATGAAATATTACAGCAGTAATAGAAGTGTACTTAGGAATAGTAATTTGGGGGCCAAAACAAAAATTGTGTAGCCTACCGTAACATAAAATGATATGAATGTGGAGAACATCTCATGAACTAAAATTCCATATGAAAGAATCTGAATGTGTTCTTCTTAAAGCCACTTTAATTCTTTCCACATGGAAAAAGCACTTTAAACAAAGAAAGAAAAGTACACTTACAGAATTGTCACAAAGTGGGGCACAAAAAAATCTTCAGCCACATGATAAAAAAATGAGATAAAAATGAAAAAAAAAAAACCCCAGACAGTCTGTGCTTTCACATGGTGAAAATTAGCAGAAAATACCTGACAGATAGACAAAGCTGGCATGCACTACAGGGCGTTTATATTCACAAATTATTGGCTACATAAATCCCCAACCCTCTCACCTAACTCTGTTGTTTTGCGTTTTGTTTTTGCTGTTTTTGTTTTCTTCTTTGTCTTTTTAGTCCTGCTTGATTACAAGATACAATGTGAGGGGAGGGGGGATAACTGTTTATAGCACCAGGAAATTTTTAAGCAATTTTTTTTTTAAAGGGGAGGAAGGGAGAGGGGAAGTATATTCTGTGATGTTTTCTTCTTACCAAAGCGACCCTCACTATAATCATGAGGCTACTGAGAAGTTCAGATGATTTTTGGAGCGCACGTTGGAGGTAGATTGCACCCCCTCCCCTCCCCCCCCCCCCCCCCACAAAAAAAACAACCCCAAACAAATAAATGAACTAACAGACAAATAAATCAAAATCAATAAAAAAAAACAAAAAAAAAACAACCCCAGTTTCTCTTTACCAGCATATCTTTACTTTCAGTTCCACTGGGAAAGCGCTGATTCTGAATAATAAGTACTTTGTGAAATAAAGGAATTGTATACATTCAATATAACTTTAGGAAATAAAACAAAGGGAAAAAATACAGGGTGATCGCAAACAATGTGGCAACAACTCATTGCTCTCTCCACTGACCATCAAAAGAAACTAGGAATCAAAACAGCTTGCCCCAAAACGACGGAACAAAATACCCAAACCCAACAACAAAGAATGAAAAAAAATCATGCAAAAATCAAATATTCAAAACAAAACTGATTATTTGAAAAGAACTGGGAATGGTGTAATTAAACAACACATATGAACAAAGAGGAGAGGATATTTGCCAGCGAAAGCAAGAATAAACTTGAAAAACAGCGAATTCATACAATGATTACCGATTTCAACCAGTCTGAGCTATTCGTAAAGGCCTAAGAGAGAAAAGGAGGAAGATAAAAACAAAAGAAATATACATTTGTGTAAAGTAAAAAGACATAATATTACTTTTATTAATTAAACTAAAGAAACAAAATATCAAATCCAGTATAGGAGAGCTCATTTATAAACAACGATAATGATAAAACCACTCCCACAAAAAAAACAGAAAATAGTGTTTGAGGCTGCACATCCCCATTGTTTTTATCAGTTCATTTTGAAGAAATATAAAAGTTCCGTCATTATCTCACATAATAATATACACTGGGGAAGGGATAACAAATTCTTCAAACCTTGATAACCTTAAGTGCCATTCATCGTATGCCCATGTGAGTTACGTCAAACTCATAGATAAAATGAGTCCGACACTATCCATACTTTCAGACACACAAAGTAAGTTTTACGATGTGTAGGTTGTTATATAAAGGAAATTATGATAATTGTGAACGAACACAAAATGAGGCCTGAAATCAAAGTGCTTAATGCATTAAGGTACAGGCTCATGCTGAACAGATTTTCAAAACCGTAAAAACACTTGACTTTCTTGAAAACAGAAAAACAGTTATCAAAATAGTACCAACATTCCTATTGAAAAAGTAAAAAAAATGTATCACACCATGACAGTAATGCATCTCAGAAAGGCACCCAAAATTGTGAAGGACAAAATTCAGAGAGTAGTGTAAAAAATGTACTTATGACTCATAATAATAACGGTAGGAAAAATTGTAAAGTATAAGGGACAACCTTGTACTACGTATTTGATTTAAAGTCACACCAGACACGACAAATATAAAAATACGATCAAATAAATGAACGAGTTTAAGTACCACAACAACGAAGTAAACAAAGACATCAATAAAGAAATCTATCCTTCTGAGAAACTGGGAATACCTCACATATATACTTTCCAATAAAAGTGCTTTATGCATTAAATTATTTTGTCTCAATGAAAACAAAATGCTCAATAAAATTAATTACAATCAATAACCAGATGTTCATACAAATCGAACAGACTAGGTAATCCAACTAATCTCTCATGAACTAAGTACAAAAAATATGAATAAATCTTTTAAGTTTAAAAAATGATATATTTTCAATTTGTCTTACCTCATCTCTCTCCCATGCCATTTGAAGAATGCCATCATTTATCAACTTCTTCTTGATATACACGGCAGCCTGAATCATCCCCTAGAGTCACATGTTGGAGAACATGTTAATTATGGCAATGTTCATTTGGTTAGAATCCTTTTTTTGGACGATATACACAGTTAAATACACATATGACATGTTATATATCATACAGTGTGTTTTTATGTGAGTGTGAGTGTGAGTGTGAGTGTGCATATGTGTGTGATTGGTGTGTATATGTGTACGTGAGTGTATATGTGATGTGTGTGAGTCTGTGGATTTGTAAACAATTGTGTGTGAGCGTGTATGTGTGAGTGTGCGTGTGTTTGTGTGTGTGTGTGTGTGTGTGTGTGTGTGTGTGTGTGTGTGTGTGTGTGTGCAAGTAGGTGTGCATGACTAATTACACACAGGCATCAAAATTTGAAATGTAACTTGAGTGCATATTGTGTGACCCTTTCTTTTCATGAGGCAGCCACAATTTAGTATTGTGTAGGTTGGTCTTCTATTCTAACAGTCTTGACAACGTTTGGTTGCAAACATGTTTGATGGCTGCAAAGTTTGTAAAAATACTGCTATCATCTTTCCCAGGAGCCAAAAAACAGAAAAAAAGGTTACAATGCACGGATAGCTTCTTCAGAGGGTGGAAAAGTGGGAGGGT